ATCCCCGTCCACTAACTGCTGCCCAAAGAAAGTGGGGCCAAAGAGAAGATCCTCCTGCCTCCTTCACTGTTCACTCACTCGCTCCTCAGGAAAGGGGCTGGGGCCTCTGAGAAGTGAGGGCTGGGGTAGACAGGCAAAGCCCAAGACTTCTGGGTCGGACTGCCTGGGCTGGGATCTCAGCTCTATCACTGTGTGACTGTGGGACTTGGTTTTCTCACCTGTAAATTGGGGATAATAACAATAGTTCAAACCTTCTAGGATGGTGGTAAGAATTAAATGAGATAATGCATGTAAGGTAGTTAGGACAATGCCCGGCGCATCATAAACTCTAAAGAAATGTCAGTTACTGATACTTTCCAGTGGGGCAGAACTGAAAGAGGCCTCAGAGGTTACCTAGATCTGGCCCAGAGAGGGAAAAGGTTTTCTGCTGTGTCCCTGAGGCTGGGGATGGGTGGGTGGGAACCCATGGTTCCTGCAAGTGGCACCGAGAGTCACACCAGGAAGGTGCACAGTAGTGAAGCGCATTGACTGTGAAATCAGACACTGGACTCAGACCTTACCCTGCTCTTCCCAGCCATGTGAGTCAGGCAAGCCACTTCACCTCCCTGAATTTCGTTTTCATTAGCCAGTGAATGGTGTTAGTCATCTCCACACCACAAGGCTGCTGATGAGCTTATTAAAACTGGCTTGCCGGTCAGTCACTCTGAGCCAGGCGTGGGATAGGCACTGGAAGTCAGAGTGGTGATAAGACACACAGGTTCTTGTCCTTGTGGAGCTTACTTTCTGCTGGGTGGAGACCGACAATAAAAATAAGAGTTTCGGACAAGAGCTCTCAGGAAAATGGAGCAGGGGGATGGGGTAGGGCTGGGCTGGGGAGGGTGGTGCCAGCATTAGACATCATGGTCTGGGAAGGCCTCTCTGAGGGGCAATATTTGTGCCACAACCTAGGAGATGAGGAGCCACTCTGGAAGCTCTGGGCAAAGCAGCCCCCAGGCAGAGGAACGGCATGTGCAGGGGCCCTGTGGCAGGAGCATGCTTGGTGTGCTAGAGGGGAGCAACAAGGCAGGGAGGCGGGGCTGGCCCACAGGGGCCAGGCTGTGTGCCCTTTGTGGGTCCCAGTGAAGAGTTTACATGTTCTTCTATGCGGCTTGGCGATCCCTAGGAGGTCTTTAGCAGAGAAGGGACAAAATTAAATTGATATATTTTTTATTTTATTTTTTGAGGTGGAGTCTCACTCTGTCGCCCAGGCTGGAGTGCAATGGCATGATCTCTGCTCACTGCAATCTCTGCCTCCTGGGTTCAAGTGATTCTCCTGCCTCAGCCTCCCGAGTAGCTGGGACTACAGGTGTGCACCACCAAGACCGGCTAATTTTTGTATTTTTTTTTTTTTGGTAGAGATGGGGTTTCATCATGTTGGCCAGGCTGGGTTTGAACTTCTGACCTCAGGTGATCCACCCGCCTCGGCCTCCCAAAGTGCTAGGATTACAGGCATGAGCCACAGCGCCTGGCAAATTTATATTTTGAAAGGATTCCTCTGGCTGTGGTGTGGAGGAGAGGTGGATGGGGGTGAGAATGGCAAGGGGAGGGGGCTGTTGAATCGTGCAGGCTGGAGGGGACAGTGGCCCGGCCAGGGCCATGAGGAAGTCTGATGAGCAGGGTGAGATAATGTCATCAGCTCCTCTGCCTGGCCTGGTGCAGGCCTCTCGAATGGAGCTGTGCCTGAGCCTGGATGAGGTTTACAGCTCTTGAGAGCAGCATCCTGGGGGCTTGGGTCATGGGAGTGGGTGCGTGATGCTGAGGACCTGGCCTGGGTGGTGTCTCTCTCTCTGTCTCGTTTCCTCTCTCCCTCTCTCTCTCTCTCTCTGAGAACTGCTGCTGCTATTACTCCCCAAAGACTTTACATAATTCTGGCCCGGCTCCCTCCTCATGATGTCATGTGCTGAGTGGAGTCTAGGTCACTCCATCGCATGCTGCGGTCGGGGAGAGAACAGACTTCTGGCTCCCCTGGCGTGACGGCCAGGCGCAGACCCTCCCCATGCTGGGGTGGGGTGGTGAGGCTCGTGGCGGGGTGGAGGTGCAACCTCTGCCCCAGGCCCTTTGGACAGCTCAGGCAAAGGCCAAGACCAGGGCTTCCTTCCTTTGGTGGTGCTGGCTGGTGAGGAGTGGGGGTTGCGCTGGGAGGCCTGTCCCTCCAGAGCTGGGGGCCTCTCCCCTGGAGCCCAGGCCCCAGTAGAAAGAGGCAGGCAGTCCTGAGGTCAGCCCCTGTTACCGGGCTGATGCTCTGAATCTAAGTTTCCTACACTGTAGAATGGGGACAAAGACACCCAATCTCATAGGGTTGGATGTTTCAGTGCGCTCTAAGGGGAGCATAGCAGGAACTGTTGTGAGGACAGAGGCCCAGGCATGTGCTGGGTAGGGCCGAGAGGGAGTCTCCCCCTTGGGCCTACTTGGGGTTATCTGGGCCCCAGCTCAGTGGCTTTACCTACTTCCTGCATCTCCCATCCCTGCCCCTCTGCTAGACCCCACTTCCTAATCTTACCAAGGAGAAGGAGAATAGGGTCGAGCCCCTCCCCCTTGCACAGGTAGGGAAACTGAGGCTCAGAGTGGGGTATGACTTGCTCAAGGTCACACAGCCTAGGATGGCAATGCCAGAAGGAAACTAGACCCGGTGAGCCCCAGCCCCAGGCATTTTCTGATGCATTGTACAGTGTGGGACGCCTGCAGCCCTGAAGGATGCTGGGAAGGTCAGGTCATAACTCAAGACCTGGGGAGGGAAGCTCTGCTGCTCCTCCACCCTTGCAGACACCTCCGATTTCCTTCCACTGTATTTTCGTTTTTCTTTTCTTTTGGGAAAACAGTTTGGTTTTGCAGTTTGTAGGAAAATTAACATTTATTGAGTTTTCTCTCCCTGACCTCTGAGAACACAGTGCTAAGCTCTTCACAGCGTCATTTTGTATAATCCTCACAATAACTATGGAAGATTATGCCCCCATTTTACAGGAGAAGAAACTGAGGCCCAGGGTCATACGGTTGGGGCCATGGATTCATATCCAGATTTGTGCACCCTAAAGCTCTCACCTTTCCCCCTCATCAGAAGCGCCTGAAATTGTCCTGATGCCCCCATAACTCCTCACCCGCTGTGGGGCCTGAGCTTTGCGAAGAGATGGAGAAAGCAAGTTTCAGAGCTGCAGTGATGTTTGGCCCTGGGGAGGGAGTTCACAGACGAAATGACAGGGAGTTTGACTTAAGGGGAACAGGGAGGATGAGGGGCTTGTACCCACCGCCATCTCAGCGTTGGTAAATATCCCTGACTCAGTGTTGACTAGGGCTAGGGGGAGGTGGAGGGAAGAATGTGCCTCCCCTTGTTTCTAGAGTTACTAAATTCTTGTTAGATCTTTAAATTTTATGTAAATTCTTCTTTTTTTCCCTCTTGGAAAGGTGGGTATCGTATTTTAATTAGTAGTGGTGTCAAAGGAGGGCTAGATTAATTATTGGAAATCTCAAGTTCCAGATGGTTTTAATTTTCACAGCAGGGCACCAGGGTCTATATTTGTAATTTTTTTTTATTGAAATCATACCTAGTGTATTTTAGGGGCACTGAGGTATACTCTTTGTGGCTCCAAGGATACTGTACTCAGGAATTTGGGGCTATGATTTTTGTTATGGAGAAGCAAGTCCCTTGTCACTGAAATTAAACTTTTGTGGGTGAGGGAGGGGCAGGGGCTAGGAAGCAAGGGGTCAGGAGAAAGAGTGCATGAATTGGGAGGGGGGCGGTCACAGGCAAAGAAAGCAGGTGGTACTGGGGAGTCAGGCACAGGGGTTTAAGATCAGAGAGGAGAAAGAGCTAAGAGAGGGCGTGTGGCCTACCCAAAGTCACACAGCAGCCTACTGGGGAGAAAAATGTGGACTGGCAGAGGGAGAGGAAAATTCGATTTGGATACAGCACACCTAATCAAGGGACAGTCACTCTTTGCCTGCTTGATGTCCTTGTTCAGGCAGGGCTTTGGGGGATCAGCTCTGGACCCCTCATCCTGAGGGAGGCTCTGTGGAGCATGGATGATGTAGCATGGGGTCTCCCACCCTGGGGGGATCGCAGGGGGAATTGGGTCCTGATTGGAATTTCTGGGCTCCTGGGAGTTAATTACCCTTCAGCTTTGGTGGCCTCCATGGAAGGCAGTGGAATATCCTGCATACCCTTTCTCAGGGAGCTCGCATCTCACTCCCTGTGCCCTTCCTGCTATGAATAGCCAGGGTAAAGGTGCCAGGGGGCACTAGCAGGGGCTCCAGATGTTTGCTTTGCAGGAGGGGGCCATAGACCTAACTTTTGGAGGAAATAGCTTGACGTCCTGAAAGGCAGGGGAGGTGTGTGTGCACGTGCCTGCATCTGTGTCTATCTGTCCCCTTGGTCCCCTTAGCTACTTCTCTGTGGTTATTTGTATGGCATCTGTCCTGATTTGGGGAATGGGGTTATTTTTATGATTGTCTGTCTTGCTTTGGGTTTGGGGGATGGAGTTATTTGCACTGCCGCCTGTCCTGCTTGGGATAATGGCCTTTTTGTATGGCTGTCTGTCCTGCTTTGGGAAATGGGTTTTTTGCACGGCTCTCTGTCCTGTTTGGTGCAGTAGAGTTGAGGGGCTAGGGAAGGTGGGTGACGATGGGGAGAAGGGCACACTGGTGTTTAGCCACAAGGGCAGAACTCCCTTCTGGCTGGAGCCATCTGGATCCCAAGCGGAGCCAAGAGAGGCTGGAGGGAAGGGAACAGGTGATCTGCAGCTTCCATCTCCCCGCCTGAGGGGCAGGGACTGCTACTTCTCTGACTTCTCTGACTTCTCTGTGGTTATTTAGGCATCTGTCCTGTGGGACTTGTTAGGCCTCCCCATGCCTGATTTTGGGGGAGTGAGGGACCAAAGATAGGATCAGGGACCATGTCACTGAGCCTTTAGACCAAGCCATTGCCCCTGGTAATAAAATGTGTCTTGTTCTCCTTCTGCCTTTCGAAGCCCAGCTCCTAGTGGAGACAGACACCTTCGGTAGTCAAGTCCGGATCAAGGGCAAGGAGACGGAATTCTACCTGTGCATGAACCGCAAAGGCAAGCTGGTGGGGAAGGTGAGTGATGGTTTGGGATTCCTGGGAACGTGGGCTTCCCCTCTGGCAGCTCTGGGAGCTAGAACAATGTGTCCATGGCACTGTCAGCCCCAAATGGAAAACAGGCCGTGTGTGTGTGTGTGTGTGTGTGTGTGTGTGTGTGTGTGTGAGAGAGAGAGAGAGAGAGAGACTGTAATCTCTTTCTTTCACCCCACCCCATCCCCCACTTCTCTGCCTGGGCACTTGAGCTCACCAGGCTGAGGTATCCATGGCTATGACTTACGGTGCACACAGGGCCCTGGTTTCTGCTGCTGGGTGTGGAGCTCTGGCTTGCTTGGTAGTGGGAGGATCCTTGAGGGGCTCTGGGGCACCCCGGCTACCTGTCCCTGACTCTGGGAGCAAGGAACCAGCAGGCCAAGGGCTGTGACTGCAGCGATCGTGTTAACAATCGCCAGGGGCTTACAGCGCCGTCCTGCAGCAGTGGAACCTGGCCGCCTTGTCAGCGCTGGGCCTCATGGTTCTAGCATTTCAGGAAGATTTTATTACTTTGAAACTGGCAAGAGAGCTGCATGTAACAAATTAGGGCGGAGGCAGGGGAGGGTGCAGGTCGGGGGGACCCTCAGGTTGGGGAGACGCACGTGTATGGGGATCTGAGTCTCCAATGATGCTGCTTCTCAGTACCCCTGTTCATTTCCTGGATGCGCTTGTTTGCAGAGGTCAGGAACTGGCTTCCTCTGGGTGTTCGAATGGAAGGTGTTATCCACAGGAGCTCTATGGTAGGGTCAGGTTTTCTGTCCTCTTCTCTCTGCAGGGACTGACTCCCATATCCAGCTTGTGTAACCAGGATTGAGGGGGTTCTGCCTGGATAGGTGGAGTGGGGTGGAGGGTAGGCCTGGATTCCAAGGGGGATGGGCTTGTGCTTGGGGGCAATGCCCTGGCTGATTATTTGCGGTTCATTACATCTTGTTGGGGATGGGGGAGATGACTTCAGTCTTGCTGAAGCTATGTTTTTGATTTTTTGAATTCTCCAAGTCTTATCCCTCCCCCCTCCCCCATACCCAAGAGGCTGGGGAGGATGTAACAGGCCAGGAATCTCAGTCAGGGCATTGTCGCATTATTTTGTTAATAATTACAGTCATAATAGCCTCCGCTAATTGAGCACCGACTTTCTGCCTGGCACTGAACTGAAACGCTCCCGGTGAATCCCAGGAGGCTGCCGCGGCTACCATCCCCATTCCACAGATGAGGAAGCCGAGGCTCGGCCACGCCCGGGCACTTGTCCCAGGTCCCACACCAGAGCTCGGCGGGATTGAAAGCCTGGTTTGGAAGGAAAAGATTCCAGCCGCACTGCCCACACCAACTGAGGCTTCTCAAACAGCAAAATAATAGTAATCCGCAGAGCGCGGCTCCGGGATGCCGAGGAGTGGTTTTAATTAGTGATTCACTTTCCGCCGTTGCAAGGCCGGCCGGCCGGCGAGGGGGGTCGGGGCCGGGGCCGCGGACTGGGGCGCGGGCGCCGGGTCCCCCTGGCCTGGCCGGTCCCCCTGGCCTGGCCGGTCGTTTCCTGTGGCGGCGCGGCCCAGCCCCGCGTCAGGCGCTTTGTTCTCCTGCCCGCCTGGGCCGCCTCCCAGGCCCAACCTGCTTTGAGTTTTCGGCTCGTTTTTCTTTCTCCCCCAGGAGGGGCCAGCGGCACCAGCCAGTGCCCGTGCCCACGCCGCGGCCCGCCCTCGCCGTCTGCGCGCGGTTCCCGGCATCCTGACCCCAGGAGGGCCGCGCGGGGGTCAAAAGAGCAGCCCCGTCCCCTCGGGCCGCCCCCCCACCCCGCCGCCGGCCGCCTCCCGCCCGCGGGCTAGCCGCTGAGTCACCGCTTCCACAGGAGCCGGCTCCGATTTCCTGCCCCCTCGCCCTCTCTCCCGTCATTAATATTGGTGACGGTTCAGCTGGCGCGGCGCGCCCTGGCGCAGCGGAGGGAGGCCCGGCCCCGGCACCCGGCGCCTCCCCCGCTCCTGCCCCGGCCTCCACGCCCGCCCCCATCCCTTGCCAGCCTTCTGTCTTCTGGGCCCACCCGGGGGACTCGAGGACGCCCCCAAATCCACCTGTCCAGGCTTGACCTCTGCCCCGCCCAGCGCCCCCTCACTCTCTGGCCCCCAAGGTGGGAATCTGGCTCCTGGGCTGCGGTCCTCGCCACAGCCTCCCTGCCCAGTCGGGCCTCAGGTCCTGGGAGTCCCCTCCTGTCCTAACCCCTGCCACGGCCTCTGTTCTGGCCTCCTACCATCCCGGAAATCGTTGCCCCAGCCGCCTGGTGTGTGGCTTCTGCACCTCCAGGCCTTTCCCTGCTGTCCACCTTCGGCTTTCTAGAGCACATACGGCATTGGAGGGCAGCACATGGCCTGCCCTCCACCCCCACCCAGCTCCAAACCCATCCATGGGTCCTCCCACCTTGCTATGGGACACCAAAGGCCCCAGGGAGCCTCCCTGGGCACATGGATTCCTTATGCTCCAGATGCGTGGCACTGAGCACCACTGTTCCATGGACCGGGTCTTTGGGCCCTCTGCGGGCCTGCCTTTCCCTCTGTCCACTTGCCCTGAGTCCTGGCTGGTCATTCCCGGACCCCTCCGTCAGCCCACCCACCCCGGAGCCCCACAGGCCCTCCCGCAGCCCTGTGCTGCCTGTCTGCTGACCTGGGTTATCACTGTTTGTCTTCCTGCCTGCATCCTCTGTCACACTGGGAGCTCCCTGAGGGCCCATTCTGCATCCATTCATTTGAGATCTGTGTACCTGGCCAAAGGGCTCTGAGGGCACCAAAGAATTAGAAACATGTTTCCTGCTGTCTGTGGATTGACTCTTAAGCTACAGCCTGAATTATCCACATCAACCCAAGGGAGTGTAAGCCCCCTGGCCTTGCTGAGCCTCAGCGTCCTCATCTGTAAAATGGGAATGATAATCCAGACACTTAGTAGGCGAGTAGGCACTTGCTAAGTGTTAGTCCCTTTCCCCTTTGGAGCCGGGTCACCAGGTCACTTCTTCACCTGTGGGAATGCCTGGTCTCAGCTCCAGTGCCGACTCCTTTGGAGTGGCTCAGTGGGGCAGCTTCCTTGGGCCATCTGTGTGCCAACCCTGCACATCTCTGGCCACAGCAAGGGTCCCTGCATCAAGCCCTTGACAGAGCTTTCCAGAGGTTGCAGGCCCTTGCTGGAGTTACTCTTTCTGCTGCATTGTACTAATCAGATGCCAGCTCTGTCCCAGCCCCTGCATGCTCAGGCGGCCCCCCTTCTCCTTGCTACCCCTCTGGAACCCATGTCACCTGGCCCAGGAGGTGGCGCTTCCTTTCATTTTGTAAACAGTGGTTGAGTGTCTAGCATGATGTGCTAGGCATTTTTTTTTCCCATCTCTGGAGATGCAACCCAGGTTGTATTTTTCTCATCTGCCACCACCTGTTGCAATCACTGATGAGTCCTTTTTGGGGCAACATAGAGCCACAGACCTTTTCAGGTCAGGGGAGTGCTCTGCCCACCAGCACACCTTCCTTAAGATGACTTTGGCTGCAAATGGCTGAAACTTAATCTAAAATGCCTTAAGCAAAAAGGGAATACGGGGCTTATATAGCAAACAACAACAACAACAACAACAACAACAACAAACAGCAGTCCAGGGGGTAGTTCTAGTTTCAGGTAAGATTGGATCTAGGGGCCAGAGGAGGTCATCAGGATTCCATCTTCAGATCAAATCAAAGGACAAGGGCTGCAGTTTGGGAAGCGAGAGGTGGGAGGTGGTAGTAGGAAAGAGATCAAGTTCTGCTACATCATCAGGGTTCTGGGATGGAATATTCACTTATTCTCTACACACTGATGCTTCTGCCTTGCCTGAACTAATCGTGTCAGAGTTTCTGGGGGCCAGGCCCAAGCATAGGTGTTTTTGGAATCTGCTGTGGTGAGCAGGGTCATAGCCATGTGGTAGCCAGGGGCAGAGGCAAGTGTCAAGCCCAGGTATAGCGTGCTGTTAGGTGCTTATCCATTTTTGCCTGAGGTCATGGAGGGGAGCTTGTGATCATCATAGCCCCAGGCTGGTTCCCAAGATTTGTGAATTTCAGCCAAAGCCATTCAACCCTTTTAAGTGAACCCAGGCATGCACTGAGCCTGTGTGTCTGGCACTGGGTAGCTCCTTGTACATCCAAAACCTCGCTTTGTGCCAATGGTGGCTATGTAGGCCTGGGGGAGGTGAGATGTTTTGATGGGCATCACCTGCTCCTCCCCACCCTTTCCCCTTGTGGACCTCTCCGGAACTGGGCAGAGGAGAAGTGAGCTGCAGTGGCTAGGGCAAGTTCAAATCCTAGCTCTGCCACTTATAAGCTCCATGACCTTGGGCAAACCAATTTGCTTCTGAGCTCTGCTTTCTTCTACCAAGCAGAGTCGAAGAAGAGGATGAAATGCAGTAATGGAAGTAGCAATGTTTGGCCTGTAGTTGGCAATCAATAAATGGTTAATGAATGAGTAGGGAGACCAAGTGGGCTAGACAATTTCTAGGGCTCAGCTTGCTTTGTCTCCCTAATCAGTGTGTCCCAGGAGGGACCTCTCATAGCTTATGATTGTCTGTGGGACATTTATAACAGATCCAGGAGGGAGAGTCTATCTTCTTCAGAAGGAAACCCCTTTCATGTATCATCCCACGGTTTCCATCCTCATGAAAATGCGTTCAACCCCAAATGCTCGGGGCACCTCTGTCTTGAGCTAAGGCCTGTGCTCGGCAACAGGGGAACTGAGAAGCAGCCCTGACCTCGGCAGGCACTTGGGCTAATGCGGAGGCGGGCAGATATGGAATTTCTCTGTTGGGGTGTGGGGAGAAGGAATAGGGTTCAGAAGATGGAGTACGTGAGCCCAGTAAGACTTGACACTTGAATGGAGTCTTGAATGAGGAAGAGGAATTGCCCAGGGAGATAAAGGGCAGTCCTAGAAGGCTTCCCAGAGGAGGCAGTTTTTGAGCTGAGCCTGGAGGGATGAAAGCCATTTTCCAGGCAGTGGCAGGTATTCTAGGATGGGGAAACATCATGGTGTAGCCTTTGGTCTGTTTGTTCCTACTGTTTGGTTGAGACCAGGCAAAGAACCTGGATTCAGGTTGGACAGGCAGCATCCAGAATTTTCCATGGGGTACCCACAGCCCAGGGACTACTCCTCTCCACCTGCCTTGCACGCTTACCCTGGCTTTCCTCACAATAGATCTTTGCTGCTCACGCCACCCATACTGTCCTCTGGGTTCCACGTTTGTGTCCCAGGCCTGCCCCTGCCTGTTCTGCAGCCTCCTCGAAAGATCTCATCCTCCAGAGTGTTTTCTTACCCTGCCTGTCCCTTCTGCAAAGTTCAGCACTTTGTCTGGAGGGCCCAAGCTTGCCCTCTGCTCAAAGGTGAACGTTCCTGGAAGCTCCAGCCTGTTTTCCACTTCAAACAAAAGGCTGGAACTTGCACCTCAGTCTCCACACACAGCCAGACCGCTGGGCTTCCAGCTTGGCTGGGCATCCGTCCGTAACGAGGAGTGGGCCCGGCCTAAATTTGGAGATGTTAGTTGGAAACTCGAGTGCTGCTAATTCAGGCCTTCCAACTTTGTGTGTTTCCCACTCTTCCCCATCGAACAATTCGGCTGCCTCAGAGAGGAGACTAAAACCCTGCCTCCCCACCACCCCCTGTCCAGATCAGATCCAAGAGCGCCCTGTCAGGAGCAGCTGCCCTTCAGGAATAATCTAGCAAGCTACTACTGTGTGTCAGATTCATTTATAAGCATCACTCCTACAGGGTCTCTATGATGCAGAAGTCATTGTTCCCATTAGGTAGGTGAGGAATTTGAGGTTTACAGAGTGGGACTGACTGGCCTGAGGTTACACAAGGGAAGTGTTAGAGGTCATTTGTTTTCTGACTCCAGATCTAGTGCTCCTTGCCCAGCGTACCCAGGCTCCCAAGGGATTTCACACATCAGCCCAGGAGCCTGAGATCCCACAACCGATGGCACAGTTTGGAGTTTGACCATGTGAAATCTCTTGTTATTGGAGGCCCCCACCTTACTTCATACCAAGTATTAAGATGCACCACATCCCACATGACGTGTAATTTATATTTAACTAGATCACAGTGGAGCTGAGTTACAGCTGAGTTGCTGATTGAATGTCGGGTTTTATGCAAATCTATCAGGACTCATTTCTGTTGTACGCGATAGAACACAGTATCATCACCTGGTTTAAAGGAAACGAGCCATTATTGGCTCACATAACCGTGAGGTAACTTGAGCTTCAGACGTGGCTGGATCTAGAGCCCAAATGATATGACCAGTATGTAGTTTCTCTCCTTCTCCCCTCCTTGGCTTTGCTTTATCTGTGCTGGCTTCACTGTCAGACAGGATCTCCCCCCATGGTGATAAAGTGGCTGCCTCTGCTTCAGCCTTACAAACTCCTCCAGCTTAAATCCACCTGTGTTTGGGGTTGCCTAGAAAAGGTCTCAAGGAACACTCTGACTGGATGGCTTGGGTCACTTGCTCACCTATGAGCCAATCACTGAGGCCAAAGGGAAAATAGTGTCTGGATATATTGCTCTGGTAGGGATGAGGTGGAGCCCCTGGGCTATGAGGGTGGAGAGTGGGGAAGAAGGAATAGATTTCTTTCTTTCTTTTTTTTTTTTTTTGGAGATGGAGTTTCGCTCTTATTGCCTAGGCTGGAGTGCAATGGCGCGATCTCAGCTCACCACAACCTCCGCCTCCCGGGTTCAAGAGATTCTCCTGCCTCAGCCTCCCGAGTAGCTGGGATTACAGGCATGCACCACCACGCCCAGCTAATTTTTGTATTTTTAGTAGAGACAGGATTTCTTCATGTTGGTCAGGCTGGTCTCAAACTCCCGACCTCAGGTGATCCACCCACCTTGGCCTCCCAAAGTGCTGGGATTACAGGCGTGAGCCACCGCGCCCAGCCAGGAATAGATTTCTGAATGACAGTGGGAGTCTGTTACCTAATTGGAGGGTGGGGGAAAGATGCAGGAGTCAGTAACAAAAGTTTACTCCACACATCCAGGAAGTGAAGGCTGTCTGTCCTGTGCTGCCCCAGCCACAGCCTCCTGCCCATGCCCCTTGTACCTACTGTCCCCTTTCTCTCCTCCTAACAAAGAGTCTTCACTTGGCCAAACTAGAGTCAGGCTCTTGAACCTTCTCTTAGGCCCATCTGTGCACTTCTTTGTAAAATCCAGTTTTAGCAAGAGCCCTGATAAGTCATTTTAGCAAGAACCCCTCACTCTTGATATATGATCAGGGTCCTCATCCTCCTCCATCACCCAGGTGATGTCTGGTCACCCTGGCCTGTCCTCAGCAAAAACCCTGTTAGGTGGCTTTAGCCAGAATCCCCCACACCCTCGATGTTTTCTCTTAGTCATTTTCTTTTTTTTTTTTTTTTTTTGACGGGCTTCTGTGCCCAGGCGGGCAGTGGCCGGATCTCAGCTCACTGCAACTCCGCCTCTGGTTTAGACCATTCCTGCTCGCCTCCGAGTGTGGACTACACGCCCCACCTCCCCGGCTAGTTTATTAGTAGAGACGGGTTCCCGTTTAGCCAGGTGTCTCGACTCCGACTGTGTCCGCCGCTCACCCCCAAAGTGCTGGGATTACAGGCTTGAGCCACCGCGCCCGGCCTCTCTTAGTCATTTTCTACTCTGCTCTTTGGTTATAAACCCCCACCTGCCTGTGCTGTATTCAGAGTTGAGCTCAATCTCTCCCCCTCTGCAAAACCTCCTTACAGTTGTCCCTACAACGATCGCAATGGTCCTGAAAAAAACCTTGCTCACTGTGCTTTAGCGAGCATCACTGAGTCATTTTTTTTCTTGAATACTCCCCCTCTCTCCCCTGCAGCCCGATGGCACCAGCAAGGAGTGTGTGTTCATCGAGAAGGTTCTGGAGAACAACTACACGGCCCTGATGTCGGCGAAGTACTCCGGCTGGTACGTGGGCTTCACCAAGAAGGGGCGGCCGCGGAAGGGTCCCAAGACTCGGGAGAACCAGCAGGACGTGCATTTCATGAAGCGCTACCCCAAGGGGCAGCCGGAGCTTCAGAAGCCCTTCAAGTACACGACGGTGACCAAGAGGTCCCGTCGGATCCGGCCCACACACCCCGCCTAGGCCACCCCGCCGCGGCCCCTCAGGTCGCCCTGGCCACACTCACACTCCCAGAGAACTGCATCAGAGGAATATTTTTACATGAAAAATAAGGAAGAAGCTCTATTTTTGTACATTGTGTTTAAAAGAAGACAAAAACTGAACCAAAACTCTTGGGGGGAGGGGTGATAAGGATTTTATTGTTGACTTGAAACCCCCCGATGACAAAAGACTCATGCAAAGGGACTGTAGTCAACCCACAGGTGCTTGTCTCTCTCTAGGAACAGACAACTCTAAACTCGTCCCCAGAGGAGGACTTGAATGAGGAAACCGACACTTCGAGAAACCAAAGTCCTTTTTCCCAAAGGTTCTGAAAGGAAAAAAAACAAAAAGAAAAACAAAGAGAAAGTAGTACTCTGCCCACCAACAAACTCCCCCGAACTTTCCCAATCCTCTATCCCTGCCCCAAACTCCAACAAAAATCGCTCTCTGGTTTGCAGTCATTTATTTATTGTCCGCTGCAAGCTGCCCCAGACACCGCGCAGGGAAGGCGTGCCCCTGGGAATTCTCCGCGCCTCGACCTCCCGACGACAGACGCCTCGTCCAATCATGGTGACCCTGCCTTGCTCGCAGTTCTGGAGGATGCTGCTATCGACCTTCCGTGACTCACGTGACCTAGTACACCAATGATAAGGGAATATTTTAAAACCAGCTATATTATATATATTATATATATATAAGCTATTTATTTCACCTCTCTGTATATTGCAGTTTCATGAACCAAGTATTACTGCCTCAACAATTAAAAACAACAGACAAATTATTTAAAAAACCATGAGGCGAGTGGTGGCTGGTGGCAGGGCGGGGGCAGGGTGGCCTCTGTGTCTCATGCTTTCTGATCGATCTGTGGTCTTTGCACGGAGAGCTAGGGCCTTGCACATTCATTCATTCATTCATTCTTTGAATTCAACATTACTCTACACCAGGCACGGAGAAGGCAGCCTTAGAACAGATGGGAATCCTTGCTTTCAGGAAGATTCCATTCTAATGGGTCATTGATTCAGTGGCCGCTTCAGTCATTTGTTCATATGCATTTACTCATACCTCTCATGTGCCAAGGCTCGATTCCAGACCCTGGGGATTTATCAAAGAACGTGGAAAAAAATCCCGGCCCTCAGGGAACTTCACTTCTAGTAATTCATTGATTCATTGCTTCATTCACTCATTTATTGATGGATTCATCCATTCAATATATATTTCTTAGACACTTAGTAAGTGCCGGGCACTCTTCTAGGTACTGGAAATTCATCAAAGAATAAAACAGACAAGAAATCATGCCTCTCAGAGCTCGAGTCTAGGGATTAATTGATTGAATCACTTGTGTCTTCCCCATCAGTGTTTTGCCAGGCACAGGTCGAACAAGGGAATATGGTGGGAGGATCTAGGTCAGTTTGGGACCTGGCGTGTCTCTCCTCAAACTCCCAGGGGCTGGAGTTTGAGGAATCTGGTGATGTTACCTTCCAAGAACCCATCCTTCAAGGTCTTATTTCCCAGGGCCTGTCCCAGGATGTCAGGGAGAGGCCAGGTTAGTCTCGGGATTGAGGCAGATTGAAGGTTAGTGAGTCCTCTGCCCTGAGATTGGGGCTGTGTGAGCAGTCAGGCTTAGAGTGGCGGGACTGTTTCTGTTTTTCCCCTCTCCATGGCCTCCAACCTAAGTGTCTTTGTAGGGGAAACCATATATTCCTGGTGGGGCAGGAGATAGCCTGAGGCAGAAGGCACCTCTGCTGCTGGGGTCCTGTGGCTGTCACCTGCCTGCCTTGAAAACTCCCCCTCCAGGGCTGGTCGGGAGAGGTCCCCCTGAGACCCTGAGGAGAGGTGGGGGCAGAGGCAGTGGGAAGGGGTAGGAGTGTCTGCTCTGCAGGTTCCTAGCCGGGGTTGGCATTCCACTTCTTCCGAGCATAGCTTTTGATCTTGCCTCGCTCTCTGCATCATGAAGCCTTATCCCTTCACCCTGGGCCCTGTCCTGCATGTCTGTGGCTCGCCCTCCTGCCCGTCACAGCACATTTCTGTAGAGTTTTGTGAAGCTCTTTAGCTGCACATCTCATGGTGTTCTTAGGATGCCATTATTATCCCCATTTTATAGATGAGGAGAACTGAGGCTCAATAACATTACGCCACTTCTCCAAGATCACAGAATGAGAAAGCGGAAGCGGGTGGGCCTGTGTCCAAATCTTAACCTCTCTGGGATGGTGACGGCTGCCACTTGGAAAGTGTCTAACATCATCGGAACCTCTGCTGGGGGCTTCAGTAGGTGCGCTGCCTGGGTATCCATCAGACAACTCTGTGTAGGAGGTGGGTGTCCCTGCATGAGAGGTGGGCACCCCTGCTTCCACACTGGACAGAGACTCCAAGAGAGTATCAGCCTGCCCCAGGCCTCACAGTGAACAGGCGACAGCCTGAGACTCTGGCTGATACTCACAGTGATTCACGTTGTCATCGATGGAGCACCTGTTACATGTCAGCTGCGTTCACTCTTCCTGTATCATTTTATTTAATGGAAACAATAATCCTAAGAGATGGGTGTTTGCTAGAAAATTGTGGAGCCAGAATGCAAGCAGTCATCTGCTCATTCATCCAAAAAATATTTATTGGCTTTACGCTGTGCCTGACACCGTCCCAGGGGCTGGAGATACAGCAGTGAACTGCACAGAGCCCTCCCTGGTCCTCATGGGGCTTCCATCCTATTAGGGAAGGTCAATAATAAAACAAATAGATACAAAATATAACGCCAGGGAGTGGCAAATCGTAAGAAAAAATAAAACGTGGTGAGGGCAAAGAGGATGCTGTTTTAGATGGGGTAGTCAGGGAGGCTTCTGGAGGGGGGATATTTGAGCAGGAAGGAAGCGAGGGAAGCGTGTTCCACAGACAGTACCCCAGCCTGGAGGGCTGTCTCGCGATGAAGAGGGGCCAGAACGGCTGGCGCAGAGTGGGTGGGGTTGAGGGGAGGGGGCAGATCACGATCACGACTTGAGTTTCTACTTGGAGATGAGGAGCCACACGTGATGTGCCTTACACCTAAAGGGATTGCTCTGGCTATCGTGTGGAGGAGGCTGGGCAGCACCTGGCCCGGCTGACTGCGCAGCGCCATAGCCTGGGCTCTCACTCTGACCCGACGCTGCCTCCTGCCACTGGCTTTGACGCACCCCTGCCCCCAGCACAGCCCAGGCCTCTGTCCTGGGTCTGCAGGCTGCTCGCACCTCCTGCACCAAAGACCTTGCCTTTGCTCCATCCCTGGGGGCAGTGGGACCAGCGTTCTTTCCTTGTCCTGCCTTTTAGCATCCCTGCCATTGGAAGATGTGGGCCCAGCTTTTGTTTCCTCTAGACAGAACTTTCTGGACATTTCCTGAGCTATGAGTATGTTGATGATAAGCACAGTGGTCTGGGGGCACGTTTCCCAGCCACGGATGCTGTCTCCTTAGGCACGGTTGCTTGAGGCAGGAGGCTGGCGAGGGTTGCCATAGTCCAGCTGGGTAGGAACCCCAGGGATAACAGCTATGACTTTTGGAACATCTACTGTGTACCAAGCACGATCCTACTGGGCCCACCCCACCAACCTTTGAGGTGGGCATTTTTAACCCCACTTTATAGAGCAGGCTCAGAGAGGTAGAGTCACTTGCTTGAAGTCACACAGCTAATAAATAGAGGAGCTGGGGTTTAAACCCAGGCCCTTCTGTCTCTAGAGCTCTAACTTGATCCAAGTCCAGATGCTTGGAGCTCTTGGCATCTGTCCAGATTCCAGTCTTTTTCCCTTGACCCCCTGATTCTGCCTTGGCATCCATCATTTCCCAACCCACCAGAGGGTGGAGGCAGGCATAGACCACATGCCCAGGTGCCGACGGCAGCCCTTCTCCCACCCTCCACACCCTCCCCAGGATGTTTCTGTCGTGGGGACCACAGAGACATGGGACCTGGAGTGCTTCAGTTTGCCTTTGACGTGGCCACTTTGCCAGCTGTGTGACCTTGGGCAAGGCACGTCTTTTCTGTGAGTGGCGTCTCTCATCATCCCAGTCGATTCTACCTTGTGGGGCTAATGTAATGCTCCAGAGAGAGCAGAGCAAACACCTGGGGACGATTCCTGCCCCAGAAGAGGGGAGAGGACCCAGGCAGGGAGCTTTATCCTCTCAGGCTTCTCTCTCCATCTCATTGCTTTAGAGAGGAGGGGGCCGAGACCCACAGAGAGGAAGCGACTTCCTCCAGGTCCCCCAGTGAGTCAATGACAGAGCCCATTAGATGACCAGTTCATAGGAATGATAGTGGGTGGGGTGAGTCGGGGGCCCCTTCAGTGGCCAGCCAGGCCCTTCTCAACCTTCCCAAATTTGCAGCAGAGGGCAGTGGGGAGAGGCCCTCACCATCCACCCCACCAGCCCTATAATGGTGCAGGAGGTGAGTGAAGATTGAACCTTGCCCTAGCATTTCAAGGGGCAGGCAGGCAAGTATGGTGGCGAAGGGCCCCTGAATCTGGGACAGAAGTGGATTTAGGGACAAGGGCACTCTCCCCACCTCCCCGACCCTATGCGTTGTTTGGACCCAGAGTCCTCTCCCTATGGCCACCCCTTGCCCTCCTGCTTTATAGCCCCCTTGATGTGCACACATCCAGCTTCTAGTGGACGGTTCCTGGGGCAGAGGAAGCTCTTTGCTCTCTTTTCTTTTCTTTTTTTTTTTTTTTTGAGACGTAGTCTCGCTCTGTAGCCCAGGCTGGAGTGCAGTGGTGTGATCTTGGCTCACTGCAACCTCCGCCTCCTGGGTTCAAGCGATTCTCCTGCTTCAGTCTACCAAGTAGCTGGGACTATAGGCGCATGCCACCACGCCCAGCTAATTTTTGTATTTTTAGTACAGACAGGGTTTCACCATGTTGGCCAGGATGGCCTCCATCTCTTGACCTCGTGATCTGCCCGCCTCGGCCTCCGAAAGTGCTGGGATTACAGGCGTGAGCCACCGTGCTTGATCAGCTCTTGCTCTCTTAGTTGTTACTCTGATCTCATTTGATTGACACAAGAACCTGGCAAGATAGACGTTAGGATGTAAATTTTGGAGATGGGAAAACTGAGGCCCTTAGAGAATGTAATTGGCCCAGGTTCCATGGTAGAAAGTGACTGAGCTGAGATTTGAACCCAGACCTCCCTGTTTCCATTTTTCACCTTCCCAGCGTTCTTCTCCATCCCTGCCTTTGCTGGGGGTGGAGTGGGGGAATAAAGCTCCAAAACTGAGGGCCAGGGAAGCAAGTGGCCCTACCAGGGTGGGTGGGGAGGCCTTTCCCATGACGAGTGGGAGAGGCTGTGTTTTGGGAGTATACTGCCAGTGCTAGCCAGGTGAGTTACAGGTGTGGGAAGGCACAGCCCCAGGCTGTCTGCGGGACGTTGAGGGGATGCCCTCCTGCCTGCCTGCCCAGCTGGAGCCTAACAAGGCCAGGCTGGGATGGCCCCGGGCTTGAAAGCCCCATAAATGGGGCAGAACCCTCCCTCCACAGCAGCAGGATTGGGGCTCCCAAAGAACAATAGTGAATTAGGTGCTAAAGATGTGAAGGCTGCTCCCCGACCATGCAATTAGCTTGCAGGTCTGTTACAAACATTAGGCAGTCGAATTGGGGACCAGATGGCGGCAAGGCTCACCCTTGCTGTCCCAAGACGGCCTGGCTTCCTGGCTGAGGTTTCCAGCTCTGGCAAGGAGGGAAGGCGGCAGGTAGCCCCGGTGTGTGACCCCCTGCAGAGCAAGCAGCCATTAATCAGGCATCCCCTCCCGTCCCCAGGGCAGCTTCACGACCCAATTAGCACTTGC